AAGAGTGTGTGTTTCCCACAGCTTGCACTAGATACTACTTTCTGTGATGTCTCTGTTTTTTCTACTTATTTCTTCTCTCCTCCAAGCCATTCTCCTGGACTAAGGAACTTATTATGTACATGTTCTTATTTAATCTTTAGAACACAACGAGTAATACAATATACTCTCATTTCATCTATGAGATTTGGAGAACCCACGTTAATAGAACCAGCCATGCCAAGCTAGAAGGCAGCAAAGCCAGGATTTAAACTCAGGTCTTCTTGGTTCCAGAGTCCTTGTCTTTTCTACATCATGCTACATCGTAAAGTCTAAACTGTAGCCACACAGTGGCCCACATAGGGTCAAAAGATTCCTCATCCTTAGGCTTCCTTGCTGATGGGATTTCTTGTGGGGTAAGGATGTAGAAAGAGATTAGTAAAGCAATGAAGACAAACATGTACCTTTTCTGCTCCTTTACAAAAACATTACAGTAGAGGCACTTATAAGAACACATGTTCATAACTTGCATTGTTTTGTTCTGGTTTTAGGATTCTTGGCACTAAAGCGCGCCTATGTCAGTTGCTATTTTTTTTTTTCCTTTTTAAATGAAAACAGAAACCACTCCATATGCTCCATAAAGCTTTGTGGGATTAAGGGTCCATGAGCACAAATGGAAGCTGGGTGATGTGGAAGCTGCTCAGCCAAGCACTATGTGGGCAGGTGGTGGACACGCAAAAAGACTGCAAATGAGAACCTGCCCTCACCAGGTCCTGGACAGGTAGAAAAAACAGCACTGGGAGTCTCACCCACCATGATTTTATAGGCTCCAAAGTTAGAGTTCATACAAGAAATCAGAATTATATACTTGAGCAAGGCAAGACATGTGCAGACGGAGTAGGACAGAATATTTTGGGAACACAAAGTAGACAAAAGAGGGTAGTCAGTTTCTCATTGCTTCGAAGAAAATGACATTTTCACTTCTTACTACTTCAGAAATCAGTCTCAAGATGTACTTAACGTAGTGGGTAAATGTGAATGACTAAAATATATTAGAGTGTCCTGAGTTCGGTCAAGTGAAAGGTAAAAAGAATGGCTGGCTAATGTTATTTGAAGATTTGCATTTAGAAACATATCATAACCCAATCCAATTCTGCCTACCCCCAATTTATTTTCCACAAATTTCTGGCCCATGAAAAATTAACATGAATAAAGTAATGTGGTTATTTGTATACATGGCCAAATATTCTACTGCCTTATAGATTTATAGGTTTCTGTTGGGTTTGAAGACTCAACTACCAATAACCAGGATTAATAAAGGTCCATATTTAAATGAATACTCATAGAAAAAAAAAAGAAAAATGTGATTTATAGTCCAAACCTCTAAAAGACACCTTTGGGTTATGAAAACTTGGGGGTTAGGGGAAGCAAGAGCCACACTAATACTTTGTATTGGTTGCCTTCATGACAAAGGTCTTCATTTTAAAATAAACAAACAAACAAAAAAAACAATCCAGACTCTTGCAACCTTGTAGTTACTATGAAGCCAAACTTGCAGAGAAGTATTGGCATCTGTCCTCTTAGCAGTAGCAGGTATGCCAGTCGACACTCCCTTAATTAATTCATAACTGAAGAAAGAGAAAGTACAGTGAAAACCTCAGCCTAAAGTCAGTTGCCTTGAGACAAGACGTTATATCTACTATTGATTTTTAAAACAAACGCAGAATCTTTTCCCAAAAGTCATCTCAGTTCCATCTTGAATATCTGCCATCTCTTTTCAGACCTACCAACCCAGACATCCTTCTCCTTGGCCTTCCCGACCTCCAGCCATGCTTCCAGAAGCCACGGGTACCTGTAAGCAAATGACTCTGTCTCCAGGCTGAGCCGAGCTGTCTCGAGAGTAGTCCCCATCCTGTCTAGACTGCTGCCTGCCCCGGGTCTTCCCGACAGCCACGGGGTTAATGGCTTCCAGGTGTGAGGGGTTAGGCAGCATTGTCACGTGCAGGGGATGGTGCGCACCAAAGTCCAGGTCAACCGAGGATGTCAGGTGAGACAGGACATCTCCAATGGCTGGGACATTTTCCGGAAATTCACTTAAACCTCGCATTTTTCGAAACATCAGCTATTATTGACACACATACAATAAGAAAAAAATGTCTTTTATCACAATGAAGACTAGGGAAGAGGTGGTTAGTTTAAATAATACAATACAGAAAAACTTTATGCACACAATTTTATAATTATTACCATGCATTATTTAAAGATGGGTAAAACTTCTAACTGCATGAATGCACAGAACTATTTGGAGATTTTCACAATCAAATGAAGTACCAACACTTTACAAAGAGTTTATCATGACACAGAGAGTAAGTTAATGTCTTGAAATAAGCAAAATAATTTTTTCAAATACTCCTGTGAGAATATATTTTCAAAAGAATTTTGTATTAATTTCATCAAAAATAGAGAGGAAAATAATAGAATTAAATTCCATTTAGACAGGGGATGATGTATACAGCTTAGCTCAAATTACATCCCAAAACTCTACTGTCCAATTCTCAATGAACTTCTCTGCATACATTCTCTCACTTCATTTTCAGCCTTCTAGGAGACAGACATTACTACCCATTTTAAAAATGAACAAGCAAGATAAATTAACTAAATCGTTAAAGGGCTTTGGCTAGTAAGTAACACAGTTGGATCTCAAACCAAGGTATTTACCAAAACACCATGTGGATTATCCTAATTGCTTGAATGACTCAAAAGCTTTTTTAGTTTGCAAAAGCTTCTTATTGACAATCTACAAACAGGCATATACATACTCACCCAGTGTAGATTCAGATGTGTTTCTCACAAATATGATCCTTTATAATCATTTCTGCATCTTTGAGTAATTTCTTTGAGATATTTTAGGAATGCAATTTTTGGTTTAAGAATTTCTGCATGTATCTAAGCACGTCTCCATCTGTCAATCATTTTATCCTGTCATATTCTATCTTTTCTAAGGTATTCATCTTTTAAAAGCGAATTATCAATCTCTCAGAAACACTGCAGTATGAGTAAAAGTGGTAAAGCTTGGCACCTAGATGTGACACTACACAGATTTTCTAATATTCTTAAGGAAAACATATCCTTCCATGGGCTCTATTCACTCCATCTAATTTCTACAGTCCCTTTAACATTTATAATTACTTTTAATCTCCTGGACAAGAACTGTAGTGAGGTTTAGCCAGGTTCAATGGCCAGAATCTTATTAAATAACAGATCTCTCTGATGTTCCCTGACATCAAATTTTCAGTCCTGGCTATCAAGTTTTTTGAGAGACTTACAAGAGCCACTGAGTTCACTGAACAGAAATACCAAAATTCAATTAACATATAAAACCACTCACTTGGGTGGTTTCTTGAGATAAAATGTATAATTAGTTTTATACAATCTATTCACTATAAATTCTGCAAATAAGTGGAAGGTAAAATTGTATAAAACTGTACAGATCTTTATGTTCACTTGAGCAATTTTTATTAAGAAAAGTTTTCAAAGAACAGAATTTATTTATTCATATCATCCCTGAAGAAACAAACTAAACCTTTAATTTCCCTGAGAAGATAAAATCCATAATATATAGAAAATCAACCCCAAAACCAGCTCTATCCAGCAGCATTAGGTTTCATCAATTAACTAAGCTATCTCGTACCAATGGCTCACACACTTAGTCAATGTTCTAAAAGGAATTATTACTATCAGTTTTAGTGTTCCAGCCAATTATAAATCAACTGTCATGGAAAGTATCTCACCTCTGGAGGAAACTGCAGAAGGCCTGTCAGTAAATTAAGTCTCCCTCTATGGGGCATCCCAATGATGACATCGGTGATCCCACTGTAGGCTGACATTTTCAGCAACTCATGGAAAAAGCCCATCATGCTTTCAGCTCCTTCGCCTCCGTATCGCTTCACTGTGGCAAACTTGGTGGCCAAAAAGTGGTCAAACTCCTATGGACATCATACCAGACACAATTATAGGAAGATAGCTGACTACTCAGCTCAGTCAGACACGTTGTTGTTAAGAAGACCCCACACTACTTCAAGTGGCTGCAGCAGCGCCCTTTACTGCATACCCCAGAGACAGACATAAGCCACTCAGAACCTGGCAGGAAAGCCTTGCCAAGGACACCAAGGGATAGCAGCAGGGGATGCAGAGAAAATAACCTGAGAGGTAGAATAACTTCCTCAAGAAAAAGCCCCTTAGGATGTGTGTTCTTCCAGAGGAGGGAGCATGCCCAAGATTTCTGCTGCCTCCCCCAGTACCTGAGTTTTAGTACCAGGTTCTACAGTACTATTTTCAACATGGCTGCAAACCAGCCAACTGTCCGAATTATTGGGAATGGGTTTCTTGTCAATCTACTTTTTCCTAGAATAAAGTGGTGTGTGGAATATTGTCAGTTGTGCTGAGGCAACATGGGGTAAGGGGAGGTACATTCAGAGTTAATGCCTAATTCCCTCTCTTCGATATTTATATATCTTTGTAAAAAATGAGCTGACCTATTCCATTGATATTAGCTGCTTTTATACCTGAGATTCTAGCATTAATTTGGACAGATGTTTTCTCTCTTCTGTGGTAAACGTCTCCTTTTTCAGTTCCTCAAACCGCTTGGCAAACCAATCTTTCTCCTCCTGGCTCTGAAGTTGAGAGGTTTCGATAGAAATCTGCCCACAGTAGATTTGGTTGAGATAGGCTAATACTTCCTCAAGCGAGACCTCATCCTTCCCCATGTTCAATAATCCTACAAAATGGAATCAAAGGGATCGTTTTAAAGAAGAATCAGCCATGTGACTAATTACAGAACATACCAAAATAATTATTTCAACTCAGAGCATTTCGTTCTGAATAACTTGGGTCATTATTAATGCTTATCTACATTTTCCCAGAAGCAAAAATATGACCAAAAGACGTGAAGTAGTACAACTAGAAGAAGAAAAAAAATCTTTCTACCCAAGGACAGAGCCATGTTACTTTATACCAAATTTTGGTTATATAGTCATTTCAAACTAAAATTTGAAACCTACTTTTCATCTGATTTATAGCTACAAATCATGTCATACCTTTATCTCAAATATCTGTCTACCAAAAATGTTCAAGTCTTCATAATATCTATAGAACAACATCTATTACTGAATAGTTGGTCTTAATGTGAATTAATATCGATAGTAAAGCAACATTTCAAGGTAAAAGGAAATCTCTTTGAACCTTAAAGGAAGGTTTATAATGTCATTAGCTCAGCACTCAGTTATCAGTCATTTGCCTACATGGCAGCACAGATATCACTCCAAGATCTTAATTTCGATTCCTTTAGATAAATACCCAGAAGTGGAATTGCTGGTTTTATTTTTAATTTTCTGAGGACCCTCCGTACTGTTTTCCATAGTGGCCACACTAACTTACATTCCCACCAACAGTGCCTGAGGTTCCCTCTCCTCCACACCCTCACCAACATTTGCATCTTTTGCTTCTTTTAGTAACAGCCATTCTAACAGGTGTGAGGTGATAGCTCACTGTGGTTTTGACTTGCATTTCCCTACTGACCAGAGATGTTGAGCATCTTTTCATATACCTATTGGCCATCTGTCTAAAAGTATTTGAACGCAGAGGAAACGTATTGGAAGACTGTTTCAGAACCTCAAGACTACTCTTCCCTGACAGTGTGTGAATGTGTCCCTCATCGTCTCCTCACAACCCATGGACGCCTCAGCTCCACTGGACACGTGGTTTCTTATAGAGCAGAGAAAGGAGCCCCATCCCTGCTGGCAGGTACCTGTCACGCACAAGTGTATTATTAACGGGCTTTACCTGCGGTATTAAAGGGTCCTTGCAGGGTGAGCACAAGCGCTTGGATTTCGGGCACATCTTCCTGCAGGGCTTGGCCAGCGAAGAGAGGGTTGATTTTGGCAGCTTTATGACCATGCTCACAATACGCTGTCACCAATCTGGCAAGTCCATGATCAACTAATTAAGGGGGGAAATAAAGCAATACAAACAGTTTAGGAAATGCCCACAAACCACAAAAATCAGTTTTTCAGAGAGGCCTTTGAGGCCTCAGACATTTTTAACACCTTGCTCCTACCCACCAAATCTGCCCATGGTTTTCAGGATTACGACTATCAGAATTCAGGAAAACATACTTATTTCCTTAAATTTATCGCATAATAACTAAAAGTCACTTTTAAAAAGAATTAGGAGTGAACATTTATAAAAAAAACTGTAAAAATGTACACGGATAAACATTAAAAGAGAATACCCCAAACTGAAAATAACTGAGAAAATGCTAAGATTATAGATAATTAGTCCTCTCAATTATTGTTTGAGATGTTTTTCTATACCTTACATAAAAGATACGTAGAACTACAAAATCAATATTACATTATCTTCCTTATTTCTTAAAGGCCTCAGTCAGGTACACTGTTATTTCAGACTCATGAAATCTTAGGTGAGGAAAAGACTTTAGAAATTATCTTATAATTCACATAATGCAAAAAATAAAAATAAAAAATCTCCTTTTTAAAGCCCTAAAATGAGTGATTCCCCAGTCTCCACCTGAAGGAGAGCTGTTATGTTTCAACAAATGCAATTCTATCTGAGATGATTTCATACTGAGCGAAATGCTGCTTTTCTTTCCTTTTCCACATTAAAGTCCTTCTAAAATTTGGGGGGGTGGAGGAGGGAGGGTGAACCTTCAGTTTGTCAAGTTAGCCTTACACAAACTGAGAATAAATCCCAGAAGATGAACAGATGTGCTATTGAAGGCATAAATTTTTCTGAACATTTTTAAAACTTGTATATTTTGAAATATTTAATGACTATTTTTTGAACATGTACCGCCATACAATAATTTCAGAATTACATATGTGCCTGGGTTTGTATTCAGAGTACTGCAAAGTGTACCTGTTGGCACAGGGTTAGAGGAAAGAACAGAGATATACTGAATGTGTAGAGGATGTGTTTGCACTAATATGAGTTAGGAGGATCTGTACTGTATCTAATAAACTAATCAAACAACCCCAGCAAATTAACTGATTTTAGGCTGGAGGTTAGTCTCATAAATTGCCATAGGGTTCTATTATGAAACATACTGAAGTTCTCAATCGCTGTTTTACAAATTGGAAACCTTCAGATTTGTGGCTAAAATCCAGACAGACCATGTCTAAGGCACTGTCCTTTTGAGCCAACTCCCACATCAGTGTTCTAGAGTATCGTTAAAAGCCTGGCTGGTGAGCAGGTCGAAACTGCAGCAGTGATCTCTGTGGGCTGTTTCCTAAGACGACGTTTTCAAAACGGCGACTAGGTTGCCGAGCATGGTGATGGTCACCCTGCATACTCACTAATGGACTTGCTCCACTAGAGACGGAGTTTTGTAGATGACACCGGAAGCCATGGAGAGTGGAGAAGATCACCCAGAGAGAAAGCAGATTGAGAAAGTGGCCCTTGGCAGGCCCACAGAGTACCAGTATTTTAAAGGCGGACAAAAAGGAGGAGCCCTCTAAAAGTGGGGTGGTTAGGAGGGAAACCAGGATCTTGCAATGCCAGAGAGCCAAGGAAAGAATGTTTTTAAGAAAGAGTGGCCTTTATGAGATAACCATTATTAAAAGTTATTTTTATGTATATTAAAAAACAAAAAGGAATGGCCAACAGGGACTGCGAAGAGCACGTGGCATCTACTATTCTGGCAGAACCAGAGGGAAGAATATTCTCTTCCTACCTCTGGGTACATCTTACAATCCTCCTGAGGATCTGTTTTCTCTGAGACACTCATTTCATTGCTCCAGTTTCTCCTACCAGACACACTCCCATAGCCTTCCCTCTCTTCCCCCAGGTCCTTCCATGTGACTTCTGGAATCCTGTTTTGTGATTAACAAACCTCCCAGCATTAACCTCTTCCCTGAACACTGCTTGTACTCCCATCTTAATAGGAATCTGTTTTCCCCAAAGGACACCAGTAGTAGGTGAAGCAACTCGTTGCCCACACCCACGCCCCTCAGATATTGAGGGTGGAGTCAATGCCTCCTGGTTCCTTGTTGGCTTCCTTATCATTAGTCCTCTTTATAAACCCCTAGGCCTCTGAAAGACATGCTGTAGTGTTCTTAATTAATCCCCATTTGCCAATAGTCATTACAAGATCATGTTGTAGGAGAATGCTTAGTGGAAAGTGACTGTTTATTTAGATGAGAAAAGACTATAAACAGTATATATAGCATAAGCCTGCTTTTTTGTTAAAATGTGTGTATGTGTATATAGTGCATATTTCATTATATAGTATACATTTTAGTATGTATATATACTTCATATATGTGTATCTATATCTATTTCATATACATAAAGGAAAAACCAAAAACTTAGTGATTACCTTGTCTAAAATTCCTCTTTTCTCATATTTTCTAAGTTTTCCACAGTAAAAATGTACAGTAGAGCTCTTTAGATTATATTCATTGAATACACTTGCTGCGCACTGCATTCTGAAAGCTTTAATTAGTGAGTTCTCTCCCGTCCCCCTGGCACATCTGCCCTCATCAGTTAAATAAATGCTGGTAAAAATCACTTTTATTTATTCCTAAGCCTATTGCTATAGGTAAAAGTAAACTATTAGGGGAGAAGTAAAAATCTAGAGAGATTTTGGACTCAGACATTTTTACAAGCTCTCTTTAAATACTTGCACAGATGCAAACAGAAATAAATATTTAGGTTAAAATACTTGAAGCATCTCTCACGTCTTTATGGTAATCCTTGCTTCAATGACTTTTCAAAAAACAAATGACCAACTTCTAGTTTCAAACGCATTGGATATAGTGCTTCTGCTGTTTGTGTTCTGCAGCAAATAATGAAAGTATTTGTTACAAAATATTTATATATTTTTAAAATCGAAACATTTAATGAAAATGATTAAATTAGAATATTTAAAGAATTAAAATATTTAAAAGGATGAGGGAACAGCAATAGAATACATATATTCTTCATTAAAAAATTTCTTATTATTATATAAATCAAAGAGTTACTGTATCATAAAAATGAATGCCTTTATGTTAGGCATAACATTGCCCAAACAGCTTAGAATTTATGGTATCTCAAAAAATTCCGAGAAATTTAAGTTAAATCCCTAACTGGCCAGAGAGAATAGAGAAAACAACAGAACACATTAACACTGTTCTTCAAAACAAAATGGAAAATATTGCAGGCATGCTTCTGGCTTAGGAGACTGGCACATAGTAGATGCTCAGGAAATATGTGTTATTACTTGATGGAAGGAAGTCCTGAGATCCAGTATATGGTAACAGACTCACGGAACCCTCACGATGAACGTTTTCTGAGCCCTCTAAAGCTGCAGTGGTTCCGTCTTGCTCACCTGCAGTCTCACTTTTCTGAGAACTGCACCCTTCCTTCCAGGGAGAGGGCTCTAGGGGCCACGTCTACATCACTGCATTCCGCCTCCCTACAAGTTCTTGGACTCCAAAGACACCTGAGACAAGGTGGGTCAGATTCAATCTTTCCAGAATTAGAGACTTAAAACTGAGAGAGAAGTTATGAGAAAAAAGCCTGAGACTGCCATCCTCAGAAAAGCCTTCTTGCAAGTTTGGCCACTGGCTGGTGTCTGGGAACTTGAATTTCAGGAATGTCCTCATCTGTCTCTAACTGATAAGGATGGTCAACTGTGCCTAGACTGTTTGTGCAAACTATGCAGTCTGTGCTGAACACCTGCTTTCTTTCCTCTGGGAGCCTGGAAGTTTGCCACGTGCAGAGGGTGCTTACATGAACATCCCCCAATGAAAACTGGACACCGAGTGTCTGACTGGCTTCCCCGCACCTATGTTGCAGTTTTTTTGTCACTTGAAGAGGTATGCATTCTGTGCCACCTCTCATGGGAGAAGGAGTATAGAGAAGCCTGCACGGTGTACTTCTAGAGATTCCTCCTGCATCTTTTCCATCCTGATCCAGCTGTGTGTCCCTATTACATCACTGTAGTAAATCTTAGCCTTGAGTACAACTATATGCTGAATGCTATGAATCCTTCAGGCAAATCTCCAAATGTGGCGTGGGCTGGGACACCCAACACATGTTATAGGTGACACAGGAGCTGAGGAAAGTAACAGCTGTGCCCTGTGAGCCCATACTCGGCTTCTGGCAATATTCCCAGAGTTAGCTCTGGTTTACTGTACACATCCTTCAGTTCTCGGAGACACCTTTGTATCTTTCAGAAAAAGTCTTCTCTTTGCTTAAGTGTTGGTTTCTGCTGCTTGTGACCAGAAGAACTTTAGCTAATACAAGAAGTAAAAAAAGAAATTATGATAGGGATATCTATGTTACTTTATTCTCTGTTGTAAGCAAACATGGTGGGGGCACTTAAGAGTTTTTTATTTTCAAGAAGTGTTCATATTAACCAGCATGAAGTACACTGACAGAAAAACTCAACTAATCTTAGTGCTTAAAAGTCAATATAGTTCTATTTCACCATCTGGTCATAAACCCTCAATCCCAAACATCTAGATCATATCAGTCTCCATTCAAGGCAGCATATGCTTAATTAAAACAAGTGGGAAGGTTAGATATCTATATAAACATTAAAGACTCCAAGAAAGGGAATTTCATGATTGGAGTCCCTTAGAACTCAACAAAAATGAGATGACTGTCTTTGCTCCAACTTAGGAACTTCATAATAACTATTAAAAGCCAAGGCTTTGCACTAGAATACTATATTCTGTACAATGAACTCAGATAGACCTAGACTGTGCAACTGAGGTCATTTCTATCATACCCTCCCTTTGGATCTCAAACACATTATCTTTATAAAATAGATTTATTTCACCAGATATTTCTTTCTTGCAAAACAAAACAAAACAAAACAAAAAACAAAAACATAGACTTCAAATAGAAATCTTGTCTGGTCCTTTCCATTTTTCCCTAATCCTGTCTTAAATCTTCGCCAAGATAGGTGCATAAGGGTCACTGATAATATATGA